GCAAGCGGGCTCCAAAATCAATCAAAGCTCTAGCCTGCGGTGTTCACCACAAGCGTGAGGAGAAGGGGTTCTCTAATACCCACGCTACAATATGGAATTTTAGTTGTTGTAAAGTTATAACTAACTTACCCTAGAAGAAGTTAGTTATATCTTAGTTACAACTCGAAGTTATAACTAAGTTATTTCCTATTTATAAGTTCCATAGGTAGTTCATAACTTACTTATAACTAAGAACTAACTACCTTCTTTTTCCCTCAAAAAGATGCTTTTTTTCCGCGCGCGAACGGGGAGGTCTCAGCGAAACGCTATACAGCCGACGCTTGCGCTTCAGTGTATACAGTCGATACTTTGGTCGATCTGTCGCCACCAGCTCGCCGGTAGCCAACGAGTCGGTTGGTCCACTCGATGCCAGGGCACCTCGTCTGTCAGACGCCACGTCGAACCCCACTTGGTGGTTCCAGAGTGCCGCAGGCGTCTGACAGAGACGTGCAGCGGTGTAGTGGTCGACCGGACCAGTTCCAGCACGCGCCCCGCGTGCGAAGGCCACTTCCAGATCACCACATCTCCCACGTGGAGAGAGCCGATCAGACCACGCGCAGTGGTACTGTGTTGCAGACTGTCGTCGCCAAAGAAAGACCGAGCGTGGGACGAAGCTTTATGCAACGCTCCCAGCAAGACATACGTCCAGGGATCCTCTTGGGATATGTCCGCCAACAGGAGCCGAGGCAGCACCCCCTCTTGGAAATCCGCGGCCGCGTTGACATAGCACTTCTGGTTCCACAATTCTGCCACCCTTCAAAGCTCGATGCTTTGCTTCCATGGGGGCACAATGTGGGACAAATCCAAGTTTGAGGATGTCTCTCGGTAAGTGCATTCTGTGGTGGTGTTTTGGTCGCACACATTCTTCGCCATAGGCAGCCACGAAAGCTACCTGCTGGATTTCTTGCTTCCTGGCCAGTGGTAATACCTTGTCGGGATCAGAGATGAGTTCCACGCAGGATCTCAAAACTGTAATCTCACGGCATATACTTCCACTAAGGCCTCGAAGGATGTCGTCTTTGCAACGCTACGGTCCGTCTCAACGAGGAGACGGACCACATAGAAGTGAAGCAAAGACAACAAAGCTGCGCAATCTGCGGCGCAACCACGAAAGGCACCGCCCTCAAACATTTTTGGATGCAAGAGTTCTTTCGACAAATACAGGGGTCGGAATTTCGCACCCTGTGTTCGACGACGCCATCCGCTCTCCACAGCAGCATCACACAGTGCCGTCAGTGTCACACCGTGTGACTCAAGTTCAGAGATCATATATCCGATCTCATGCGAACAAACGCCATTAGAAAAGTAGTCGTGCATGGCGTCGGTGACAGAGGAGGAAAACGGTAGCCGCGCACGTGCCTCCGGACAAAACATAAGTCCGCAGGGCATATAGCGCAGCCCAGTCGCCTGTTCTTTCTTCGTGCGAATCGCCTTCGGCAGGGGCTGCAGCAAGGTATCTACAGACATCTGATAAGCGTCATCCGTGCGAGGATGACAGCGGGATAGGTCATGCTCTGCTATCGTCACAAAGCCTTCCGGACGAACTTTGGAGTGCCGACTGAGGACGTTGCTGCAGTGACCACAGGGGACCAGGCCTGCACTTCCTTTGATTCCATACGTTGCGCGCTGGGCGTCGTGATCCCCCACAAAGAAGCTTCTGGGCTCCAGACGCACAGTCTGGGTGCCCGCAGCAAATCCAACAGGAAAACCTCCTTCGTGCCTCTCCGTGTGCAGCGCACGAATAACATAGCGCATCAGACAAGACGCACCATCTGCTACACAGTCCAGCTGGGTCCGCTGTACGCAGCAGACCGGAAACCAACTCTTTTCAGAATTCACAACGTGCCACAGACATCGAAAGGTGCAGTAGACCACGAGAGGTTTTTTCTTTTTGACAGGAGCCAAGATGTTTCCGCATATGATTTCGTCATTGTACAGCAAAGCCTGTAAGCGGTCCCCTCGCAATGTGGCTGCGTGTAGTTCAGCCGCCCAAGCGTTCGATTTGTCGATCAGAAAATTCAACATTCGTTCCAGGTTGGCTATGTAGACGGTCTGTGGATGGCCATCTCGTTCAGCACTAGGAAGCTCGTGCGGATCGAAGCACGAACGGGCTGACGCGTAGTCCGCTTGAAGCCACCGTCGACCTTGTCCAGGAACTACAGGGCCATTGGCGACAGCCGTGTTCCAAATTCTGATGAAGTCCTTTTCGCTGGCAAGCGTGCTTTTGCGCGTTCGAACGAAGGCCGCTTCTGCTGTCCTCTTTCGAGACATGGCTCTGTCACTATATAGGCTTTGCCTTCGAGCCCATATACATCCTGTATATGCAGATATGAAGAAAAAAACTGCGCGCAGAGTAGCACAAACACTTTTTAACTGCGGGGGCATGTCTGGGCACACTAAGCGTGAATTGCAAACAAACTAATTACCTTCCTTAGAAGGCGGTCGTACTTATAAGTATAAAATAACCAGGATATGTATAGATAATGTATAGTTAAAGTATGATAACTATGGACGTAAGTATGATAAGTACAACAAAAGTTATCGCACTTATTCGATACTTATTCTGGAGTTAGAGTACATGCATGGCACTTGTAAGTAAATAATAAGTATATGTATAAGTATAGACATAACAGACTTTGCGGACTTAGCGTACTTAGATCCTAGTTAAGAACGCTATGTTTCTAGAAGACATCCGCGCACCCGCAGGATTTTTCGGCTCAAAGAGTGGAGAATGGCGGAGAGGGCGGGCTTACAAGACTACACACTATTGGCAGACTTCCTGCGATGGGGCTGTTGGGTTCGCTATAGGCGATTGGGGACATCAGACGCATGTCTCGCATTTGTCTCGCGCCGGAGGGCGGGGCAAAGACTCGGCATTGTCTCGCATATCTCGCGCTTGTCTCGCGCCAATGAGCGTAATCATCCGGCAGCCGCAAAACGTCTCTGGCGGGATAGTCGCGTGTTGTCTCGCCTTGTCTCGCGTTTGTCTCGCACCTGGCAGCAGAGGTTTGTTTTTTTGTTTAGGAGTGAATGCGCACCGCTGCAGCATTTTCCGGTTCCCCGGGCACAGAGCAGTGCGTGCCCCCCTCTGCGCGCCATGTCCTTCCTGCGTTTTGTTGAGTTTTGCGATACATGACCGGTTCTTCGAAAAACCTTGGTTCTACCAGGTTACAATTAGGTCAGACTTAGGTCGCGCTTGTGCTACTTAGGTATAAGTAGACTTAACATAGTTATCATACTTATAAGTATAAGTACGATAAGTATACTTATAAGTACAACGCCTTCTAAGTCTCATATACGCGAGCTACGTCAGAGGAGTCGAAGCGGAACGTCGTGCTGCGGTCTTCTTCTCTGCGGGCGAGCTCCGACCGCGCAGGATCCAACATTTCCCGCGCTACCGTCAAGGCTCTGGCCATGTGGACGATGCTCGTGGCTAACTGTCCATCCCGAGCCATCCTTGTCTGCAGCTCTTCTTCCAACGGACCCAAGATATCGATGGCTTCTTGAGCTAATGCGCTGGAAGCGGGAAGCGTAGACTGTCGAGGTGCCGCTTCCTCATCGGAGGAATCCACCTGTATCGGTGCCATGTCAGCGAACATAGTGCGCAAATTGCGATGCACGCCTACGTCCGCAAAGCGAGGTCCCCAAAGATGCACTCGCTTGTTGGATATGAGGACTCCGTGAATCTCCTTCACCATGCCCGGAGCTTTCCTCTTTCGCGCAGAAAGAGGGGCATGTGGCAGTCGCTGCGACATAACGAAAGTCTGTCCGTATTGTGCTGAGAAGGGGCTGCAGAGTGTACTACAGGTTTTTTATATATATTCTGCATATATAGACAAAGAAACGAAGACAGCCGCATCGACCTAACCCAGGAGCCTTTTTTTCACGCGTCCAGAGCAGCTCTTCCCAGTCTATATATACGCTCACGGCGATATACATATATCGCCCACAAAACCCATGACACTATATATGTATAGTGTCGTACAAATCAACTGCCCTCCTCAGCAGCAGCCTTCGCGTCTTTGGCGGCCCTCACGTCTTTCCTGGTTTGGGCCAGCAAGCTCTTCGTGGCCTTCACATGGTTCTTGAGGTCCTCCACAGTGAACGGCAAAGGCGGCAAAGGCACATGTGCCGCCACATGGTTCTGAGACGTGACCAGGGCATTGGCCTGCGTCTTCTTCTCCTCTGTCTCCATCAAGGCTGCCTCCAAAGTTGCCAGTGGCAAAGAAAGCTTCTGAGCCTGAGCCTTTATGGCCCCCAAAGATTTAGCCAAGGGCGTCAAAGCTGCCAATGCCTTGACAGCGTCATTCATCTTGCGCTCGTTGTCCTTGTCGGTCTTCTTGTTCTCCTTGTCCAGGCGCTTCTGCTTGTCGGCTTCCTTCTCCTCGCGCGCAGGCTTCTGTGCTTTCGCCTTGGCCGCGCCCAGGAAAGCCATAGGCTTCTGGGCAGGAGCCACGTCCCACTCCTCTTCGTCAGCGTTTGCCTGCTCCTCCTCCCCATCCGCTTGCTTACGCTTCTTTCCCTTCGCCTTCTTGCGCACATCCTTCTCACGCTGCAAAATCTCTTGCTCCACCTTACTCCGCACCTCACGCCAGATATCAGATCGCACTGGCACACTGTACAGCTGTCCTAGCTTCGGGCAGCGGGAGTCTGCAAAGTTCTCCACCGCTTCCTTGTCAAAGCCTCGTTGCAGCCATACACCCATGGGAAGCGACTCCGACACAACCTGCGAGCCGGATTCTTCCAGGCGAGCTTTCGTCTGCACTTGCACGACGCACGTGCGCACAGTCTCCCACGACGCGTTGCCCTGGGCAGGACACGACGCAATACCCTTCTGGAAGAAGCTCCGCTTCTGCTCCTCATTCCATTCCTCGAGAACACCAGGACCCAAGTTCCTGTAGAGCATGCTGTGCAAGGACAAGCATGTGCGACACTGCCAAGTCTTGCCTTTGACTCGGCCAGGGGTAGTCGCAGGTAGCGTCCTCAGACACATCTTGCAATGGCGGCACTCAGCCGCCACCTCAGCCACTACCTCCGCCGCCACAGGCTTCGAGGCGTCCATGCTGCGCCGACAACGAAAGCGTACGGGAGTGCGTGCTCGAGCAGCTGTATATCACTCAACGGATTGCGGGAACAAAGATTTCGAAAGTATGCGGCCGACACAGGGCCGACGAACGGCCGACTTCACGAATTACAACCCTTGCATGTGCGCTATGAACACATGTGTTGGGGCCGACATAGGGCCGACGCGGCGACGATGGACAAACGGCCGACAACCAAAAAGTTATACATATATATATACACATATATACACGTGTACAACACAAATTATATTTATTATATATATATACGTGTTGACGCTCCGCCCGGTCCCCTGCGCGCAAGGCTCTTTTTCCTCCAGGCACCGCGTGCAAAACGAGTGCTCAGCCGACCTGCGCGTAGATAGCGCGACCTCCGCGTCGTCTCTTGTGGTGTCGCCCGCTGCTCGAAGACGATGTGGGCTGCTTCCGCTTAGGACGCTTCACCTCCGGGGTGGGACTTGAAGAGATCCTCTGCGGTCGCGACTTCTGAGGCTTCTTCGTGGGCTGCTTGGCCTTCTTGGTTGGACGCTTCCGGGGCATGGTCGCCGCCAACTTCGCACCTTTGTTGGCCATGCGAGCACAAGCCGGCTTCCTCGTCATGCGGAGTGTTCGTCCTCCACTACGACCTCTTCCTCTGAGTCCCAGCCCATGTACTTCCGCTGTGCGCGTCCGGCTCGCTCTTGGCAGTGCTGCCATGCGTGAGGATCCTTGCGGCTCTCCTTGTCCAGGCGACCCCAGTACTGCCACGAGAGGCAGAGCAGGTTCGAGCGCCGATGTTGCTCTTGCCCGCTGCCGTGAGCGGTGGCGGTCTGCCCGCAGATCCCACACTTGGTCTTGCCACTGGCCTGCGGAGTACGCGGAGGCGTCACGGGGCGCGCAGAGCCGTCACCGCGCGGGCCACGGCTGTGCGCTGTCGACTCGTCGCGCGGACGAGCCTTCCGCTCCCGATGAGCCCCACGGTCGGAGCCAGTCGGCCGCGGAGCACGGTCACCCTCCTTGCCGCGGTCGTCCTTGCCGCGGCGCTCCTTCTCTCGGGCACGGTGCTCCTTCTGTCGACGAACCTCTCCGTCTGCGCGGCGTTCCTTGTCTGCCCTGCCGCGCTCCTTCTCTTTGCGGTCTCCTTTTTCTTTCTTGGAAGCGCGCTCTTTCTCCTTGTGGTGTCCTTTGTCTTTCCCGCCGCGCTCTCTCTCCTTGTGGTCCTTCTTCTGCTTGGTCTCGTCGCCCTCCGGGGAACGTGCTTTCAGCACTGGCACCGTCGGATCGTCCTCCGCCGGTTCCTCTTCCGAGGTCTCCTCCGCAGCGCACGAGGCCTCGGATTCCTCTCGGTCTTTGTGTGCCATCACCTGCAGCAGCGAGGCACGCGAACGAACGAAACGAAGTATATACTCGGCCGACAAAAACAAAGTATTATATTATATATATATATCAATATTATATACAAGTATAGAAGCGTCTCGCGCGGATGCGCAACCAGATCACGCAGATCCGTCCGCATAGCTGGATCACGCAGACCCAGCTCAGCAGGATCACGCAGATCCGTGCTGCAAGAAAGAACGGATCACGCAGATCCGTCCTTCGTCTACTCCCGGATCACGCAGATCCGGGAATATACCGGATCACGCAGATCCGTTCGGATCACGCAGATCCGCTGCTGGATCTCGCAGATCCAACACTTCAAAGTCAGATCACGCAGATCCGGAACCAACATGTGCATGTACAGCGGCAGGATCGCGCAGATCCCATCGTGCACGCAGATCCATGTGATGTGTGTCCAGGAGTTCCCGCCTCCAGTGCGTCACACAGACACACCGCAGCAAAGCAGCTCCACTTGGCCGGCACGAGGCGTGTTCTATATATATATATATATATTTTTCCTTTATATCAAGATTCTATGCTACAATTTTTTCGCACGCGTTGATCGTCCGCGCCTCTCGTCCACGCGCTCGGTCGGCTCTATACCCGCGCCACCCTCGTGTCGCCCTCGTCTCGAGCCAAAAACAACCACGGCGTGTGCACATGCCTAACAAGAAAGCATCATCCAAAACAAGTCTAGATGTCTCTTTCTTTTTCTGTCTGCGGGGAGGTTACAAAGATTTGTCAAGACCTCAGACAGTTCTTGACGCTGACCAAGGTAAAACACACATCGCGCAAAACATCTCTAGTGATCCGGAGTTTGGACTCTTCCATCAAATGCTCCAGCAGTGGAATGCCAACATCTAGCACGTCAAGCAGATCCATTTGGCAGCCAGGCATAGATCTCTAAGCGCCGCAAAAGGAAGTGGCTCCACCGTCAAGCCTGGCTGATCTAGAACGCCCCTCGGTTCCGGGGTCATCACTTTGTAGCAAGCGATGAAGAACAGCAGTAGCGGTTGGGTGGCCCAGTGATGACCACAAACCTGCAAAACCCTTTGGCACAAAAGCCAAGTCTGCTTCACTTGCTCGTCTCCATTGCGGCGAATCTCGTCCGCGACCCTATGTTCCACCACTTCCAGGTGCAACTCATATGTCTCAAGGTCCACGTTCATGAGCGAAAGCAAGCGTTAGAAGACGGTCTTACATTTGATCACTCCTTGAGCCTAATATAAGCAGACAGTGTCTATCCAATCAAGTTATCGAACACGCACACGCGCGTGGATCACAAACACATTTCTTATAGATCTATATATTCAAAGTTTAGGGACGCTATTTTTTCTTTCGGAAGCAGCGTGTCTGGTCAAAATAAAGCTCACTCAAGTTTTGCGCGCAAGCGCAGGAGTTCATCCCTATCTTTTCCCTGCTTCACATAGGGAACCATCTTCTCACAGATCTCAACGTGTTTTCCGTCCGCGGAGGTGGAGCCAATGATCATTCGCCATTTGGCATCTCTGCTGTCCCAAAAGCGAATGTAGCTCTTCTCCCTGTAGTACTCGGCGCGGCAACTCCCCCATCGCTTTGCGTCAAAAGAAAAATTGGGCTTCTTTGCTTCGGCGACAGCGGAGGCAGGCTTCTTGGCAGGTTTGCCGACCTTGTCGTCGGACTTGCTGCCGGTCGCCGCATCACAGCGCGCGTTCCACGCGCGGGATCCACGGCAGAGTCTCCAGGAAAGGTGGTCTGAGGTTCTGAAGGCCCCTTCTCCTCTCGTTTGGCCTCCAAGGTCGTTGCATCCCCCCATGATCGCCAGACGCAATCGATCGGTCGATGCGTCCTCTTTCGCGCACTCCTCCTGCGCCGGAGCAGCCGCCTTGTTCTCAAACGTCGTCTGCTTCTCCTGCTTTCTCTCATTCCAAGGGCTATCCATCAGAGCTTTCAATGGCCTCTTGGACTGTGGGCTCTGGGCAGGCGCCTCCGCGCGCGACGGAGGCGTCTGTGAGTGGTGTCCCGTTCCCCCTCGCAGGTTCTCTGAAAATATCTGCAAGTTCGGCAAGGCTGCAACGGAGGCGGCTTGCAGCTGCTGTAACTGCAGCAGCTGCATGGCCACGTTACCCACTGATCCCATCAGCGACTGCGAAGACGCTGCCGCCATTTGGCGAGGATTCTGCACGTGGTTGGCATTGGTGTTTCGCAGACGAACTTGCGAAGCATGCATCACCAGCGTCGACGCAGACACTGTTCTGGCTTCGCCCTCTGCCGGACGCTCCACCCCATATTTTCCCCTGATGACTTCAGGGAGCTCATCAAAAGTCGCAGGCAGAGTCTCCAGCAAGCGCTCTGGTTCTGGTCGCCACTTCTTGAGGCGGGATTGTACACTCTTCCAAGATGATTTCACCTCTTGCAGCAAAACATGCATTGCCCAGCTGGGGTCAGGTCTGGAGCTTCTGGATTGATCCACGCAGGATACAAAAGATACCATGCTGGCATACGTCTGCTCGCTAGGCAGGCGTAAGTCCAACCTCTCATAGAGAAGCTGGGACAGTGCCGCACACATGTCCCTCTGCGTGGCACAACGGCTCAGCTGTGTCCAATCTGCCGCCGTCAAGAAACTGTGTCGAAGCGCGTGTAGTCCTGCTGCTGCCTTCGTGTCTTCGCCATGGGCTCCGTCACAGACGACATGCCTCAAACTATATATCTCCTGCACACTTGATCCAAAAAACTGCACAATGTTTTTTGGTGAAACTCTGTTTTGTAACTATGAATAAGTCGAAATAACTTTGTATAACTAAGACCTAACTAAGTTATAACTTCCATCTAACTCCACCCGGTTTAGTTATAAATTACTTACATCTAACTTGTTCTAGCCTTACTAAGTTATAACTCTATGTTGAATTCCTTAAGTATAACTATAGTTATACATACTTATCCTAATACAAGTTCTGCTATCGAAATACAACTTTACTTGTAGTTCCCTAACTAAAGTTATAACTTACTTATAACTAAAATTCCATATTGTAGGTTCAGGTGGCAAGCAAGATCGATGAAAAATTTCGAGACCTCTAAAAGCTGGTTGCCTAAGAGAACTTTGGATTGATCTGAAGGGCGGAGGTCGGAAAAACCCCACAGGCGGACATCATCGTCCCGCAAGGGTCGGGGCCCGCCATCAAATCTCCTA